TTCTGGCTCTGTCTGCATTTTTCTTAAACTGTAACAATCCACAATATTTAAATGCCTGCCACAAACCATTTCTCCTACTTAAGTTACCATACTTTGGGTCTCATAACCCTACAATCTTAAACAAAATGGACTAATTACCTGACCCAGACCAGTCATAAAATTTCTAAAGACCAAAATTGGCCTGACCCAAAGTGGAAGGTCCAAACAGACCCTTTCTGGAAGTCTTAAAAAAAAAAAAAAAAATTTTGAGAATTTTTAAAAAATATTTTTTGGTTGTTGATGGACCTTTATTTTATTTATTTGTATGTGGTGCTGAGAGTTGAACCCAGTGCCTCACGCATGATAGGCGAGCAGGCTACTATTGAGTCACAACCCCAGCCCCTGGAAATTTAAAATTAATGGTCAAAATAACAAAGTTAAAAAACAAGCAAACAAGAAAAACCAGACACAAAAATAAAAAGCAAGCTTCTAAATTGTTTTTGGATCACTAGCACTTTCATGCTATCATGAAAGAAAAGCCTACACAGCCTCTTTTTTGGTACTTTTTTCCTGGTCTAGTCCAAACATAAATCATTACCACCTGAGGAATCATAAGCACATCCTTTCCTTGTATCACCAAAGAGCCTAATGAATAATCCTTTTCTTTGTATCCCTAAAGAGGCTAATGTATACTCTATGACCAACAGAAAATTTACCTTCTGATGGATGCTCAAAACCACAGTCAACAATAGCCCGGAGTAACTCTGGCTTGAGCAGGAAGTCCCGAAAGCCAGAGCTATGGATGGAGACATAGGAGCCCTTGACATCCTTCTTGGCAGGAGCCTCAGCTCCATCTCCCCCAGCTGCCGTTTCCACCTCATCATCTTCATAGTCCAAGAGCTCATTGTCCACATCATTCTCTGCCATAATTGGGCCGGCAGGGGGAGAAGGGGAGGGGTCTCTCGATGAGTTCTCCCAGAACAGGTGAAAACAAGGGGAAAGAGAGGGGCTTGATAAAGGGCAAAAGAAAGGGTACTAGTTTCTGATAGAAGAGCTGAGTGGGGAAAACAGACAAAAAACTTATCAGTCACTAGCAGACTTTCACCACCTCTTTCCCACTGCCACACTTTCTACTTTCCCTGAACTGTGAACCCTTTATCTGTTAAGGAACAGATATAAAACATAAAAATAAAAGATAAATATAATGAAAAAAGTGGTCTCAGGGAATATTGTTCCCAAAAAGATTGAGCTCACAGTAGCAGAAACCTGTTAGTTTGACAGGGGAAGACCAATGTATACATTTGTAATTGTAAATAACAATGAAAAAAAAAAAACAGATCATGAAAAGGTGACTATGACTAAATAAGTTTCCTTATAATCTCATGGTGTCCATTCCTAACAGCAGCCATCAGTCAAGGGTGATAGATTAAGGTCAGCACTGCGCAAAGCGCTCACTTCTCGAAATGAAAACATCATGTGGCTGCCAATCACCTCCTACACCTCTCCAGTATCTCGCGCCTAAGAACCCTCCTTCAGTTGCTTAACAAACCTATGTCATTAACACCGAGGAGCAGGCCTAAGTGAAATGGCTTAGAAACAAAAAATAAAAATGGGCTTGGGTGTAGCTCAAGGGTAGAGCAAGACCAGCACCGCAATAAAAAATGTACATATATATATATATATATATATATATATATATATACACACACCAGAAAATGTAATCAGAAATATATTAATGATAGAAATATAACAAGCTTTAACAGAATGTTTACCAAGTGGTCTCACATCACTCTTGCGTTGCTACCTCCACAATACGCACTTCTAAGAAACACAATGACACTACCAATAAACATTTGGAAAGCCTCCAAATTAAAGTGGGTAAATCGAGGTGAGAAAAATCCAACTGGGCCCATAAACGTGCTCCTCCTCCTCATCCCACAGGGGGCCCAAAGACCCAGAAGAAAGGTGAGAAGAGCCCCGCCCTCCACCAATGCCCGGGACCAGAATAAGCCTAGCACCGCCTCTCGACGTCGCTGGGGCCTCGGGAAGCGAGGGACCCACTGGAAGAGCTGGGAGCAAAAGGGACACAATGGCGCCTGGGCCACCATCTTGGATTGTGCCCCCCTTGTTTCCCTGCCTCCCCCTAGGAGCTTGGCGCTCTCGAAAAGAATAGAAACAAAGAAAATAACTACCCAACCAGGCCCCAGTGGCCAGATCATCGCTTGTGGAAGGGGTATCAAGAATCCATGTGATAGGATGACCAGGGAGAAGCGCAGATGGAGGCGGATGATAGCAAAGGCCAAAGCTTACCAGAGCAGGGCGAGCGCGTATGGCGGCAGCAACAGCGACGAGGGAGGGAATCTCTCTTCACTTCCGGTTCCAGGCTTCCCTCAACCCTAGCCTCCCGCCGTCTCGGCTGCCAGAGCGCAGGCGCATGGTGCCGGAAGAAGGACCTTTCGCTGTTCTTTACCTCCGCGCGCTCTGGGGTTGCCTTTGGAAAATGCCTGTCAGAAAAAATGTTAAAGCCCTTTCTAACTCCTCCGTTATTGCCAAAATCAAGACATAAGGAGACTAACTTCTCTTCCTGCTGTTATTTGTCTACTCCTATTCACACCCCTCATCTCTTCGTTTAAGTTTCTGCCAAGCAGGTCTTCTCTCTGGGCATACCTCCGTGGGCGCGCGATGAACGAGGGCGGCAGGGGCTGTGAGTTCCCACGGGGTCCTTGGCCTGGTAGTCAAGGTGACCTGGAGACGGTGGGTTTGCGCTAAGAAATGTCTGACTCCAGGTGAAGGGTGGGCAAGTGTCAGGAGACTGGAGTGAGCTGTGCTTGAGGGTTATACTCCGTGCCTTTCCCAGCTATGAGGACGGAAGGTAGTATTTTCCCAAAATGATGTTTGGTGGCGTAGGCTAGTAAATAAGGAATGTGTCAGCCCAGCGGTACACAGCCTTAGGGGACAAACAAATGAGGATGGTGGGAATACAAGTTTAAGAGAGTACTATAAAATGGGCCCACTCTGCTGACCCCGACATGCTTTCTTTGCCAAAAAGCAATTTATCTGCAGCCGTGCCTGGCCTAAGTGAACAGGTTATGTCGAATTCCTCAGCAAACTACCTGTTATCTGTAAGGAAATGCATTTACAAGAGGAACCCAAGTTACTCTGAAGGGAGAGACATTTGTGACCCTTTTCACAGATCAGATTATAGAAGATAAGGGTAATTCCTCCAAATTATGAAGAATCTAATTAGAACCAATTAGAATTGATGAAGAATCTAATTAGAAGCAATTAGAATTCTGCCTGGGCCAAGGTGAGGATTGTTATGCAATGAAGATTTGAAAGTTTGATGTCACTCTGCTGTCACTCAAAAGTCAAGACCTGGACAGAACTCTGGAAACTTCCCTGCCCACCCCAACCCCCAATAAATTGTAGTGCAGGAGGGGTATATTGTCTCTCTTCACTCAGAGAGGACCCACTCTTTCCCTTGAGAGTGACCCCTTTCCCTTTTCCTGTCATTTCAATAAACTCATTCTTGTTACTCTGAGCTACATATCTGAAATCTTTCTGACTTGATCACAAGAATTGGGTTTGACAAGAGGGTCTTCATGCTGCCTCAGTTTCTCAGAAGGTCCCAGCTCTTTAACAATAGGACCTATGGTCTGGGGCTGTAGCTCAGTGGTTGAGTGCTTGCCTCACATGCGTGAGGCACTGGCTCAGTTCTCAGCACAACATAAGTAAAAATAAATAAAATACTGTATCCA